TGCTAACCTTTGTGCCCTGTATATGTATTTTGAGTTTCCAGTGAGCCTATACAGCAGCAGGAACACATAAGCACTGCCAGCCACTCCATGGCATATTCCAGGTCCCTTCTTCAACAGGCCTTTCTGCCATGTTAGCTCTCCACAGCGGATACAAGTGTCCAGATACTGAGGCTTTTTGGAAACCAGGTAGGCTTTGGCAAACAGATATGCAATGCCTAGGAAAATAGCAGCAAGATTGTCTTTTGTAATAAGCAGACCACGGATTTTGTACAACACATAAGAAAATAAAGATTAATACACTAAAATACTGCTGTCTCATGCTCTACTCAGGTCATCGTTACATATCTATATGCCACAGACAGACGGGAGAGTATCTGGTGTGCTAAAATGTGCATGGTAAGAGGTACTTACCCACTCCCTGTGATAACACCACTTCCAATCTTTCCAATGCATTATTGCATTTCAGGGTTTACTCTAACATTCCCAGTCTTTTATACATTTAAACCAGTCATCACATATTTTGCCTTTAAAACAACAAAATCTTAGCATTGTCTTCAAACCCCCAGTCACCTCACTTATTTACACTGACAGAAACACAAGTATGGGCAATGTAATTTCATACTTGGCAACAGATATATTTTTTGTTACTGAGGAAAAAGAAAACTTTCAGTGGGGCCCATGATGCTTTATTAGTGATGCATACCAAATTTTGATCATCATAATAAAACAAGCTCTTTGGCTTATTTTATGAGGAGATTCAAATAAATTAAGCATAATCTTCAACAGAGCACTGCACAGCTCAGGTCATGGTAACCTCAAAAGAATGCATGTGACATATAACCAAGCCAAGTGCCCATGGAAATATTTAGAATAGCTCACTTGTGGTCTGAATATAATGTACACTGAAGTAGCTGAAATGTGTTCTTGGAAACTACATGTCACTATTACTCAAGAGCAGTGATGGGATACAGGATTTTCTGGGGAAGAAAAATAACAATTAAGGGATTTGCATATCTCTAAATGTCTCCTAAAGTAACTTCTTTATGCCCTTTGGAGCTTTCTCACTTTGGCTGAGTCTCACTGCCTTGTCTCCACCAACAGTTAAACCCAAGTCAAAAGCCCGTCTCAAGATACTGAAACAAAGTGGGCATCTTCCCTGCAGGTTTCATCACTAGGCCACCCATGCTGTGGAAGGAATTTTTACCTCTTAAAAATTAAAAAAGTTGGTATGTAAAAGCTGTTCCACTTCATTCATTAGTGTGTGAGAGCAAGAAGCCCGTTCCTTAATCATGCCAACAAAAAGATAATGCATCGTCAGAAAGCAGATTTAAGGGATGTTAATCATAATGTACTCTTCGTAATTTAAATACAACACCTTTAAAAGCAATGCATCAGTGCTCACGGAGGTAGGTTTTTCTGTAACCTTCTAGGTTCACATAACCAATCCAATATGACTAGTTAGCCATAAAATTCTGCCTGGGGGTAAAAAAGCAATTTCAATACATAGCATTACTTCCCAAAATTGCTAAGGTATAGGCTTAGATTGTGAATGGACAGATGTCAGCCTTACCTCAGGTATCCAAACTAAAATTTATTCTCTTT